CGGTTGTCTTTCCGGTCCGCCCGACGTGCCCGTTTAGATAAATGCGAACTGATTCGGATTTGGTAGCTACGAACTCCGCTAAGATAATGACGAGACGTGAACTGCGAACTAGTTTCGGTTTCTTGTCCTGCAGGATGCATGACGACGACACACCATCGTTCGACGTTGTATATGAGACAACGTCCTACGAAACCTCGTCGTACGCGAGCGAGTATTCCTTTTCGATCGAGAATGTGGACACAAATCTTATCATCATGAACGAATGCATTTGGGCACAACAAACGCTCACTCTTGACAGCGATTATCTGCATATCGAAGCTGGGGTTGACCTCGACGGTTACATTGCACCCGAAACACGTGTTGTTGATGGACAAACTACAATAGTTCGTGATAGAGGATCAAATATGTGGTACCTCTACTGGAGTTTAGAAGAAGTCCAACGTTTGGAAGTTCCATCCAGTGAGGAGCAGAAGATGGATGTCGAGGATATGGTAGATGACTGGGAGTCGCTGCGCTTCGAACAAGAGTGGGGTTGTATGGACGAGCAGCATGCTAAACTTTGCGCATGGTACTACATCGGGAAGCCGCAGTTGCGTTTTCCTGTGATCATAGACTACCATGGCCGAGTTCGTCTGTTCAACCGTGACACCCCTGTGCTGACTCTTTTCACGGCGGCCAAGCTTTGTGGTAAGCAAACGCGAGCTTTCTTCCTTGTGAGGGAAGACTTTCACGAGCCCGCGTCCGTTGGTGCTCTCGAGCGCTTCCGTGAACGATTCGAAAAAGAGTTGAATCAAAGGGTTGACTGTTTGGTGCATGCCCAACTTCACTTCCTTTTCGGATTGTGTGACGACATATTATTCACTTTGGAACACAAGGACAACTGCAATGACTACACTCTACGAAAAGTTTCGCATCACCGTTCGGGTGTCCAAACATTGGAATTCGTAGGGGGTAGGCGGAGACAGATCTACGACTGTCCTTACTGTGAAGATGGACACCAGTCGCCATGACCTGCTATGTGAAACAACTCCGAGTTAGTTCGCATTTTGCTGCTCTACTCATAGGACGACCTCGTCGTTCATCGACGCCATCATTGCAGGACTTGCGCTGATTAAGAGAGTAGTCTGACCATTCCACCCAATAAGAGAGCGGTCTGACCGTTCCACATGAACGACGTGTTGGAGATGAGTCGAAGTTGAGCGGCGGTTGCAGGACTTGTGCTCAGTTGCGAAGTGCGAATCTACCGTCATTTATTTTCCAATCGTCGGCGGCGGTTGCAGGACTTGCGCTGATTTGTGAAGTGCGAATCTACTCTCACTTATCGACCCACATGAATGACGTGTAGAAAATAAGTCGGCATTAGACGGCGGTTAGAAAACTTGCGGTTTCTTGCGATGTGCGAACCAATTACCAATTATTTAACCCTTTCGTGCATATAACATTCCTGGAATTTTTGCTTATGTACTTGCGAGAATCGCAATTGACGAGCTTCCTTGCGTTTCTCCGTTGATGCAGAATGGATTTCGGGACTTTGTCGCAGAGTAGGGAGTCCTCAGCGCAGGATGTCGATCTAATCATTTTGTCGAAGAACATTTGGGAAGACATTGGACGATCTGGTCTGGACCGTGACTACCTGCACCTCGAAGATGATGTTGCCCCGGACGGGGAAATCCCTTCGTGGCAAAGTGCGGAAGAAGGACAACTTCGGATTTGCCGTGATGTAGGGTCGAACTTTTGGTACCTGTACACTCTGATGAAGGATGTACAGGCATACCCTATCAGGTTGGAGTCACTTCTGAAGAGGAAACCCATTGAAGAGGAACTTGTCCAAACTTCTAAGATGGTTGAAGCATGACACATTTTATGTGAGAAACTTAAGTGGGCGTCGTTAGACAAGTTGCATCAAAAACTGTGTGTCTGGTTTTGCCTCGGCCAACCGACGAAGTCAGCGCCGGTGATCGAGCGAGGGTGTGTAATCGAGGCACCACAGTCGTGACGCTCTTCACTGCCGTCAAGGTGGACGGTCGACGAATGAGAGCTCTTTTTCTCGCAAGGGAGGAATTTCACGGTGTCAAGCTCACTCCTTTTCAAGCGTTTCACACATCCGGCCCTACTGGTTCCCTTGCACGGTTCAAAAACATGCTCGCCATAGATCAAGCACTCAAAGATGAGCTGCATTTGCGGGTCGACTGTTTGGTGCACCAACAACTTCACTACCTCTTCGATAACTGTGACAAAATAAATTTCACAGTCGAACATAGGGACAACGAATTGCGATCTGTTTACCGTCATCTGGTTTATTCAGCCTCCGGACCTCAGGAAGTGACTCTGCGCAACAGGAAGACGAGATATGTGTGCGAGCCCTTACTGCGATGCTGGACATCTACATCTTCACTAGCAGCATTTTGAATTAATTGCTTCGTCTTTTCTTTAGTGTGAATTGACTCGCACTATGCTTACAGGCCGTCCCCTTCGGTATACCCCGTTGCATGACAAAATGTTTATCTAATTACGAGTTCATTCGCACTTTGCCAACATCAGACGGTCTCAACTTTGCCGTTTACCCACCTCTCTGTATATGACAATGGCGCTGTTCTTTTTTCTGATGCAGGATGTCGTCTGGAAGTTTCAGTGGGACGGTCGTTGTCAGAGACTTGGGCTACTGCGAAAGTCTGCGAAGTGCAGTTGTTACTGCAGCTGAGAACATTTATGGTTTAGAGTGGTTTGGCAACATTGGGCTTCCCAAATATCACTACCTTCCGGTCCCCGAAGACGTTCACGCTCGTGTCTAGCTCGTGTCCAACCGTCTGTTTCGCCCCCGCCTACCCCAGCTTTTCAGTACATTGTGATGGCCACGCTACGAGACAGGCCCGTCTTCATAATTGATTTCTACATTGCGTCCGAAGGGAAGTTGAGAACCTGTTTGTATTATTCGTACGTAAGCAGCACATCTTTTGGTAGAATGCCTGAAGGTTGTGAGCCTGCCATTACATTTTTCTTATCGATCTTCATCATGCATATCGCCTCATGCTTGGATGGGGAATTATTCCTTGTATCCGGCGTGAGAGAAAATGATGACAGTCCCCCGTTCTGGGGAGACCGTTGTCCGTTCCAAATCCGTCACTGGAGCAATTTGAATCGAGTTTTAAGAGATTTACTCATGCGCAACTTGTCGAATATCGAAGCAGATCTTCAGGCCCGAATTTCCGAACCAAGTCCTTTTAATCGAGTTCAACATAGACGAGCGCAACGCCGACGATCGTGGGAGGCTACTCGAAGACTGTACATGCTGCTACCATGAAGATCGTACTAACTCTTTTCACCCGGCGCATGCTACGAAGATACTCATCGTCTCAGGGTATTCGGATTCTATATGCGAAGAGACTCCCATTTATCACCTCACTCCTTTTGCAGTGGGTCTGACCCTATCACGTTGTGGACATCATGTCGGGCTTGGATGAGCTTCTGTGTGGGACTTGTGTAGGCAGGTGAACATCGTGTCGGGGTCGGATGACCTTTTGTCTAATGTAGGACTTCGGCACAAATCAGCGTTCGTGTAGGTCTTCGGCTCGAATCAGCGTTCGTGTGGGTCTTTGACATGTTCGTATTAGAGGTAGGGTTTGTTTCATATGTAATGCAGATCTTTTCGCCTTGTGGCGAAGAGGGGGAGTGATATAGACTGTTTGAAAGCGTCTTCTGTAGAAAAGGGCATGTCATGTAGAGTATACGACGTGGGCTGGAATGATTTTTGGAATGCCTACATGTGCCTTAGAACGTGTACTTCAATGATTTTTGGAAAGGCTCCATGTACTTTGTGAATTTTGGAAAGCTTCCGTGTACTTTGCAATTTTGTTCGGCAAGAATCAACGTTCGTGTAGGTCTTCGGCTTAAATCAGCTTTCGTGTAGGTCTTCGACATGTTCGTATTAGTGGTAGGTTTTGTTTCATGTTTGATGCAGAACTTTTCAGCTTGTAGCGAAGAGGGGGAGTGATATAGACTGTAAGAAAGCATCTTCTGTAGATAAGGGCATGTCATGTACACTATACGACGTATGCTGGAATGATTTTTGAAATGCCTACATGTGCCTTAGAACGTGTCCTTCAATGATTTTTGGAAAGGCTCCATGTACTTTGTGAATTTTGGAAAGCTTCCGTGTACTTTGCAATTTTGTATTGATTTGTTTTTTAAAACGACTCTGTGTACTTTGCAATTTGCCATTGAATGATTTTTTTGCATTGAATGATTTCTGGAAACTCTCCTTGTGGTGTGCAACTACACCTTTTTGAAAAACACTAGGCAACTTGAAGGCGATGACAAGAGTTACTTATAGGAATGAATATGTATCTTCTCCACACAAAGATTTGATGACATTTTCACTAGGTAATATGCAAATGACAAGCCAACGTCCATATTAAATCATTGCGCTGATGGTGTGCGCACCTGCTTGTCTATCTAAGTACGAGTTCATTCTCACTTCTGGTGTGAACGACGAGCACCCTGCAACCATTTCCCTCTCTCTTTTTTTTTAACTGCACCCTCGATCTAAATGCAAGTTCATTCGCACTTTGAATGAACGCATCGCACTTTGCTTCAACTTGACCTTTACGAAAACAACAGACAACCTGCAAATGTTTCCCTCTCTCCTTCTCTCCCAACTTCCGCAAACGAACCGCCGGTAAGCACCTGCACATCACAAAACAAGAGCACGTCCCAATTGGAACATCGTCGGGTTCTTGCAATGTCGACTTCCGCATGATGACTACACTAAACACCGGAAGGATGACCGGTCCGCCTCTCCGATGTGGATCTAACGGTGGATTGCGTCAAATCTGCTCTCATAGATCCACACCAGGGATGGGGGCCAGGATCCGACCACAATTTGCTTGTAAGGCATCATATGATGTGTCAATATAACCGTCATCCAGAACTGCTTGGTGAGCATCTAGTGCTACGCCGATAAGTTCCATACACAGTCGCAAAGTCCCCTAAGAATGTTCATTGTCGGTTCCTCACGTCGTCGATTCCCACGTGATGAGTACAATAAACAACGGCAGAATGGCAGGTCCCCCTCGCCAGAATGGATCTAACGGTGGATTGCGTCAAATCTGCTCTCAAAGATCCACACCGGATAGTAGGTCCTGCAATCAGCCGCTGTTTGCTGGTAAGCATCATATGATGTGTCCATACGATCGACATCCAAAAGTGTTTGGTGATCATCTAGTGCTACGCCAAGCAGTTCTGCCGCAAAGTCCCCTAAGAATGCTTTTAGCACTAGAAACCTGAGACCGTCGACTGTTTGGCACTTCTTGAAGGTGGTCATTTCAACCGATGCAGAGGGTTCGTGGTCGCTTCCATTGCTTGTATACGTGCCCGTGGGTGCTCGGCATGGCATACATGTAGTGTTGTTTGACACTTCCTTACGGTTCTTTGTCCAATGTTGTTCAACTAGAGTCTCTCTCTGTCTCTCTCTGTCTCTGTCTCTCTCTCTCCTGCCATGCCCGTTGATGTGCCTCTCGCATGGCTGGATGCAATGCGGCCGTGCTGTGGTGGTCGTGTTCAACAAGACGCCCGTCATCGGAGTTTCGACGGACGTCCTTGGGGGGCATGGTTATTTTCTTTCCTTGTGAGCTGGGTGAAAGCATTTGCTTTTTTTTTTTTTTTGTGGCCTGTAGGGCATTTGCCTGTCGCGATGGTCATGTCGGAGTTGATTATCCTGGGTGATTGGCATGAGCGCATGGCATACCCTTTCCCCCCATGCGCGGTGCGCGTCTCCGGCAGTGGAAACTCCACTGTTATTGACGGTGCGACAAGAGACGAGATGGAGTGTGATCCTTGGATGAATGTCCCCCCGTTCACTATTGCTCCCCTGGACTCGTGGAAGGAGCTTGAATGAGACATAATGCTCAGGGAGTGTCCGTGGGCGGACGACTACAAGTTCGCTTACATGTGCGAGTTTGGGAGTTTCATTCTCGTGCCTAGAGCTGTGCTGGGTTCAGTTCGGTGCCGTTGCTTGAGTGCAAAGCTGAATATTCCTCGTCATCAAAATGTGTTGGCCTGCAGTGTCGTGACTGCTTCGCCGCGCACATGGTCCCGCTCGCTGGAACACGAGTTGCTTGCCTGTGCACGACATTCCGAGTTCCTCGATCAGTACCTGTTGCAATCTCCAGGGCAGTCGCCTCGAGCAGTTTCCTACTGCTGCGTTAGATTGCATCTCGGAAAGTTATTCTTATCTAGGGTCCTTTGCGTCGCGTGTTCGAATCGGAGTAGGACCTTGACTGACTCTGTGGTCTACGTGTCCAGGAATGAGTTGCACCTCGGGAGAGACATTATCGGTTTGGTCACAATAGAATACGAAGGGACATTGGATTTGGTAATCGGGGGTAAGGTGGACGATGTGGACGCTTGCGTGAGGTTGAAGCTCAAGCGTCCTTTATACGGGATGGTATAGGGAGGTCTCTGGTCGGAAGGACCAGGTTCGTTCGTAAGAAATATATTTCTATGTTTGCGGAAGATGCTCAGGTCGATGCGCCACAGTGTCTTACGTTCGGGTCGCCTCTTTGAACTTTGAATGAACGCATGTACACACTGGCCTGTCGTCATCGGTAGAAGTGAAAGTTCTGAACGGATGTTACACGCCGATTTCCTTATGCATTACACACATGAGCTCATGGTGTGCGCACCTATCTCTCCATCTAAGTGCGAGTTCACTCGCACTTGCTGTGTGCACCACGAGCATTCCACTTCAGCGGTGTGACCACCTGTCTCTCCATCTAACTGCGAGTTCACTCGCACTTGTGCTCTGAACCCCGAGCAATCGGCTTGAGTGAATGTCTTGACGACTGCGTGTGGGCGTGGTCACGGCAGTTCCCGTTCGCCAACTATGTTCATGCACGTTGTCGTGCCCGTGTGTATCGTTTGGTATGTGCGCGTGGTGTGTAGGGTGCGTAATGGAGGCGACCTTCTCGACACCACGAATCTTTGAGTCAATCTTCTCGACACCACAAACCATGAGTCCCGAAACGCACATTCGCTTGGCAAAACCGTTTCCTCCTTGCGCGAGATCAGTGCGGCATTTCAACGGTGTGACTACGATTCACGGAGCGACCGCAGAGGACTTTGACGAGGACCCCTGGATGACCGTCGTCCCATGCATGGACGGACATATTGACAATTGGTGCGATCGGAATTGGGCCACGATGGAGAGTCGCTCTCCTTGGGCAAGCCAGTACAAGTTCACCAACATGTTGGAGTTCGGGAACCTCATCCCCCTGTCTGACGCTATCCTCGGACACAAGTTCCGGAACCATATGCGTAGAGCACTGGGCTGCATTAGCCGCCATTTCAGCCGCCTCGAGTGCCACTACGTCAGGTCGTCGCCACGAACTTGGGGAGGCTCGCGGTAACAAGGATTGGTGGACTGCGCTCGTCACTGGTCGTTCCTGGACCAGTACCAGCTCCGGTGCCCCGAGAATTCTCCACAAGTTGTGTCATACTGTTGTGTGCGATTGAAAGTGTCTGGGTCTGATTTCGCCAGAGTTCTATGTGTCGCTACGTCGAACAAGAGCAGGAAACTCGTCGATGCAGTTRTGCTTGTATCACGCAACGAGGTTGTAATTGAGGGGTCCAAATTCGTGTCGACGCGCGGGCCGAAACGTGTAGATGGGTGGCGAGATTTGGTTATAGCAGGGCCGGTCCAAAACTTTTCGTTGCATCATGAGGTCGAGGGGAAAGTGTCCGATATACGGAACTGTATAGGGAATTCCTTAGCACAACTGGGAGTGTTTGTCAGGATGAAATACATGTCCGTCTTTTCGAGGAGTGCATCGGTCGACGAACCGCAGATCCGCGTGTATGGATCATTAATGAATGCTTTGTATGGCTTCAGTACACGACCTCGTCCCCGGTGAACCCCGAATGTCAATAGATCTGGACGTGTGATTAGACTTAAGTGAGAGTTCACTCGCACTTTGCTTAAGTGAGGGTTAGCTCGCACGTAAGTGAGAGTTCACTCGCACTTTGATTAAGTGACGAGCTTGTCGATATGAAGTGTGGGCGTGACGGTTGAGTGTTGGCCGCACCAGGGGACTTATCATTAGACAACTTTATTTACGACGGTCGACACGTCTGTTTGTGTCGTTTGTGTGTTCGTGATGTGTAGGGAGCGTAATGTCGTCGAGACCTTCGACAAGCGTCAACATGAGTCCCGAGACGCACATGCGCTTGAGTCCCGAGAAGCACATGCGCTTGGCAAAATCGTTTTCACCTTGTGCGACATCGGTGCAGGATCATGATAATCAAGCGTGGATCGACGAAACAGCCAAGGAGGACTTAGACGAGGACCCATGGATGTCCGTCAAACTGTACATGAACCAGCATCTCGACGAATGGAACGACAATGATTGGAAGGCGATGGAGTATGCCTGCCCTTGGGCAAGCCATTACAAGTTTGCCAACATGTTAGAGTTCGGGAGCCTCATTGCACTTCTTGATGGTGTCCTCCAGCGAAAGACCCTGGACGATAAGGGTAAACCGATCCGCTACCGTACCAGCTTCAAATGTCGCCTCGGCTGCGAGTACATCAGATCTTCGCCACGAACTTGGGGAAATTCGCAGAAGCAAGAGTTGGTGGACTGCGCTCGTCATTGTTCATTCTTGGAACACTACCCACCCCGTTGCCCAGGGACTTCTCCACAAGCTCTATCGTACAGTTGTGTGCGGTTGACGGATGACGGATGTCCTTTCGCCAGAGTGCTATGTGTGGCTTCTTCAAGCAAAAGTAGGAAACTTGTGGATGCGGTTGTGTTTGTGTCGCGCAACGAGATGGTGCTTCAGGGATCCAAGTTCAAGGCGGTCATGTCTCGCCCAGATGTAGATGGGCGGTCAGACTTGGTGAGAGTAGGTCAGGTAAGAGTTTTTTTGTCATTGTGGCGTGACGTGGAAGAGAAAGTGTCTGAAATACGTGACTGTATAGGGAATTCCTTAGCACGACGAGGAAGGTTTGTCAGGATGAAATACATGTCCGTGTTTTCGGAGACTGCAACGGTCCACGAACCGCAGAGCCACGTATATGGATCATCTATGAATGCCATGTATGGCTTCGGTTCACAACCTCGTCCGCGAGAAACCTTATATGTGACAAGGTCCGTACGGGTTGTTAGACCTTGTGTTTAAGGGAAAACATGTTGTGTGCAGTTGACTGATGACGGGTGTCCTTTCGCGAGAGTGCTATGTGTGGCTTCTTCAAACAAAAGTAGAAAACTCGTGGATGCAGTTATGCTTGTGGCACGGAACGAGATGGTACTTCAAGGATCTAAGTTCAAGCCCGTGATATCTCCCCCTGATGTAGATGGGCGGTCAGATTTCGTGAGAGCAGGTCGGGTCAGATGTTTATCATTGTGGCATGAGGTGGAAAAGAAAGCGTCCGACATATGAGATTGTATAGGGAATTTCTTAGCACGATCAGGAGGGTTTATCAGGATGAAATACATGTCCGTGTTTTCGGAGAATGCAACTGTCCACGAACCGCGGAGCCACGTATATGGATCATCTATGAATGCCATGTATGGTTTCGGTTCACGACCTCGTCCGCGAGAAACTCCATATGTCACAAGATACGGACGTGTGGTCAGACCTTGTGTTTAAGGGCGATTGTAATTCTAATGAACTCTTCTGGTTTTACAGCTATCATGTGCTGTGTCGCGATGTTACGTCGTCTTGCGATGTCGTGTCGTGTACTTCTATGACCTTCTGTTTAAGGGAAAACATGTTAAAATACAATCTTGTGGAACATGATGTGCATGTGCACCTTGAAATGGTGGATATGCAGACAATCACACATTGCCTCTCGCTTCTATTGCAACTATTGTCTCTCGCATCTCTATCTACTACTTCATACAAGTTGCCTCTCGCACCTATTGCAACGCCTCTCACACCTCTATCTACTACTTGTTTTTTGCTTCGAACGTTTTTTCGGAAACAACCCCTGTTTTATTTGCAATATGCGGTTCAGTGGTTTGAAAACTTCTCGCAACTCTGCGTGCGCTGTTTCCATTTACGAAGGTGCAATGTTAGGAAAAGACTATGCAAGTTGCGAGTGTTTCCATCTCCACGTTGCGGTGACAAGAGTAAATGTTATGAATGGATGTTATGTATCTTGTCCATGCAAAGAAATGACATGCCGATGACCTTGCAAGTGTTTCAATCTCCGATGTTCATGCCAATGTCTTACAGTCCTATACATGTTCATGTCAAGGAGGGGATCGATGTTTGCGATGACAAGAGTGAATGTTAGGAATCTATGTTATTGATTTGTCTATGCAAATGACAAGCCAGCATCCGTATTGTATCACCGCGCTGATGGTGTGCGTTCATGTTGTCCATCTAAATGAGAGTTCACTCCAACTAGTGGTGTGTACCCCGAGCAATCTGCTAGTTGTCCATGCAAATGTCCAAGAACTAATAACCTGCGGGATCTAGAGTTCAATTTTGTTTCTTAAGTGCGAAACTCTGCTCGAAACAGATCCAAATCCAACAAGAAGTCCCGCTACAGACCAAGGTTCCCTTATAGTGCGTGGCCATACGCACAGACCGCTGCTCAGTCACCAAACCGCGATATCTGCGAATTGATTTGCTGTTCAACTAGTATCTGTCAATGCCTTTCCAGGTCTCTCTCTCTCTCTCTCTCTCTCTCTCTCTCTCTCTCTC